TTTAACTTAACTAAGGAGAATTAATTAATTACTAATCCCTTTAAATTTTAAAGAATGTTAAATTCGTTTACTTCTTCCAATTCCTCTCGGTATATGTCATGGCCCAGTCCCGCTGACCCATGCCGATGCCTGGTGCGCTGCACGACCGCCTGGATGCAAGCGATTTGATTGGTTGTAGATTAGATAAGGAGAGTGGTCTGAGCACCCGGGTCTGGAGGCATATCTTCCAGCCCAGCTGCTCACACAACTCTTCCCTTTTGTTTTACTCTTTAGTCGTAAATTCTATGTTGAACGTCAACAACGCTGCAGCCCTGCCTCGCCCGTTACGTGCCTTCACACCATTTACGACTCATCTCTCTACCGGGGACGGTATCAAATATCCCACCTGAACAAAGGCTACGACGCAGCGACGTAGCGACTAGAATTGACGACTGGGGAAAGACAAAAGAAGATTCGACGCGCAGCGTGTCGCAATCGACCCCCCTCCCTTTTAAGAAGGAACTCCGAAGAGGAGACTGAACCGATCAACGACCAGGTCAACGATCAACAAGAAGAAAACAACCGCCGCCCTGATGGCTCGCGATAATACTGAAGCCGCGCAACAGCGCCATGTCCATTTCGACCCCAACGTCCTGAGAAAGCACGCTCCCAAAGCCGGCAAGCTTCCTCCCTCCGAGGTCAGACGCAAGTCCCTCGATCCCAACGACTTCGTCGGCCCTGATTTTCAGGGCGCCGCCTCTCACACAGTCGGCCAAGACGATGATGACGACGAGCCCGAAGATCTCGACTTGTCGAACCTCGCCCCCGAGGAACTCTACAAGTATTACCTTGAACATGTTCAACCCATCGCCCGTCGCGCGCACTACTTTCTCAACAAAGAAGTGCCTACCCGTGACCTGAAGGAACGCCTCCATAGTCTGCTCGACCACATGCATCGTAATGGAGATGCCTTCATGCCGTTCACCCCCATGACTTCTGAGGGCAAAAGCGATGCCAAAGCCAAGTCTTTCGACGGCCCCATGACCTACGACCAGTTCATCGCCCTGGTCCAGACATCCCCAGAGGTCATGTTCATGGAGATGCGTGTCCGTACTGCCTCCCTCATGGGTGCCATCGAGCAGTCTGACGACCTCACCGACATGCTTAATCGCGCCGACAAAGACCTCCAAATCCTCGAAAACTGGGCCGACCGCTTCGGCTCGGTCGCGGCTGGTCTGTCCGGGAAGGTCGCCCACGGAGATCCCGATCCCCCGGGTTCCGACACGAACTTCCACACTTCCAACGCCGGCTTTCAACAAACCCTCGCGGAGAACCAGCGACTCAAGAAAGAAAACAAGCATCTGCTGGCCTCCCTGAAGACAGCCCTTAATGCTGCTGGCAAGGCTACCTCGGGTGGGGGAGATCCGGATGACTCCGACAAAGATTCCAACAAGTCTGTCGCCTCCAAGGGATCCAGGAACGGTCCTCCTCCCAACCCTCCGCGCAACAACCGTTCTCGTTCTGGTACCCCAGCCACTACCACCACTTCCACAGCTCACTCCGGTGACAATAAGCGTTCCGCCAAGGAAGAAAGCGCTGGAAAGTTCTACAACGACGACAAGGAGGACAAGGTTACCTTCGATGTTTGGTACTACCAAATCAAGACAAAATTTGAAGTTAACGCTGATCATTTCGGCAATAACCGCCAGAAGTTCGGTCACATTACCAACCGTCTGGCTGGCAAGGCGGCCCAGGCCCTACTCCCCTACCTGGACTCGGACCATCCTGACCGCCTTACTACTTCTGACGATCTGTTGAAATACCTGTGGGAGGAATACCACGACCACAGTGCCTACGAGAAAGCTCTCGCAGAGTTCAACGACTTGGAAATGAAATACGGTGAGCGCTTTCAAATTTTCAAGAACACCTTTCAGCGTTTGGCTGGCCAGTGCCGCCGCCCCCGCGACCAGTGGAAGAGCGACCTTCGTCGCAAGATCACTAAGGAGCTCCGTCAAGCGGCAGAGTCTACCTACCTGGACCCCTCCAAACAGTTCACCGACTACGTCCTACTTCTCAATTCTCTGGACGAAGGCAACCGGATGGATGCCCAGAAGAGCCGCCAGCGTGATGGAAAGCAAGGCTTTCGCCGCAACGCCGCCTCCAAAGACTCTGCCCCAGCTCCCAAAGCTGCGGTAAAGACCCCCGCGTTCGAACGCCCCACCCCTGAGGAGATGAGGGAGCTAGCTCGTGAAGGCCGCTGCTTCAGCTGCCACAAGAAGGGACATATGAGTAGCGAGTGCCCCCACAAGGAAAAGCTCGCCAAGCGCCTCGATGCCCACTTGAACTCTATTGCCGACGCCATCTGGGGGAAGGATTCGTCTAACGTCAAGGAGTTGCTCGACGCTCCGTCCTCTAACGACGAGTCCACTCCCTCCGACGATAAAGACGCGTCAGGTTCCGTTGAGGGAAACTAAATACCCTGGGCCAAGTCTCCCCCCAGGGCAAGGTGTCAACCGCGACGGACATCCTCAGTATACAGCACCCAGATTTCGACCTCCGCAACTGTCTGGGAGGGAAATCTTCCTTTCTCGTAACATATAGCGTAGCACTTAATAGAATTGCTATTACCACTTCTAATGCCCTCGTCGACACTGGAGCCGACGCCAGTATTATTGTAAATCTATCTTTCGCTCGCAAGTTGCGAAAATTGTCGAAACTACCCTTCTGTGACGACTTCGACCCCGGATACGTCACCCCATACAAGAAGGCACAGCCCGACTCTGTCAGCGTTG